ACGGACCTTGGGGAAGACCAAATGACTGCAGGCAGATTCTGGGTAGAAATTTAAATAGAAATTTAAAATAATAAATACTGGTGCAAAGGGGCTCAACTCTCCCAGTAGAAGTAAAACTGTTAACATTGAATGAAGAAACCTCGATAGAACTGTTGAGTCTTCAAAAGAAGTCCTTTCAGACAACCTTTAAATAAAACGGGATGCAATTTAGTTATTTCTGAAATGTACAAGAACAATGCCATTGGCTGGGCCTCTGGATGCAGACATGACGAAAATATTATATCTTTGTGTCTGATGCTAATTTTCAGAAGTGACTCTAACAAGGAAGCCGCAACAAGGAAGCCGCAAAGAATATCACAAAAAGTTTCTAAATGTAGGTGCTCTTAAAGGATCATGCATTTATAACTCCAAAGTTCAATGGAATCAGGAAATAGAACTAAAATTTTAGGTATTCAAAAGCCATAACATTAATGAGATGTTCCAAACCAAAATTCAAAGATGATTATGTACTTCTTGAAAAAACTACAGTAATCAAAACCATAAGAAGTTTGGGGTTACCCAGCATCTATGAGCATCAGATTGAAAGTCAGTAAGATAGTTGCATGATTCGAAGGCATTTCAGTTCTGGTACGTAAATGAGGGAAGTGTTCCTGAGGAATGGTGAAGAAAAGATCATAAAAAAGAAAAACAAATCAGAATCCAATTCAGAGAGTTACGATGGAAGATTCAAACTTGAAACACATAGGCCTACTTACTAGTAAAAGTAAGGTCACTGAGAGTACTGGTACTCTTTACTCCATAATCTTAAATCAGAGCTAGTAAAATATTTCCAGTTATTTTCAAAGTGAAGTATCCTTTACAAATTGTCTAATCATTCCACTGCTATATTTAGCTTTCCTGTAAACATTGTTTTCTTATTTTTTACTTCTTTAAACCCAGGTAGAGTACTGTCAGAATAATAAAATATTTTAAAAGAGCATTTTAATGACTTTTGGTATTTTACATTTTTACAGGAATTCAAATCAGACTAATGGTCAAGAATACTGGAGATTCTACTTTAACAAACAGAAAATAATCATTTTAATTTTTGCCTTACATAACTTAGTTAAACAAGCATTTAATTATTTCTTCAGTGGATTAACAACAAATGCCTTCATCCCTTGCCAGTTTCTTAACATGATTAATTTGAAAATCCTTTAAAATCAAATGTTATCCTTACTTTCCACTATATCTTCCAGAGGGTTGCTGGTGCAACGGTGTATATAAACAGAAAAACAAGGCGTTCTTTCTTCCAGACACACTACTAACACGAGTGGGAGAATTGTAATAAATATTTCACCCACCAGCGGCTATGAAGTGAATGCACCTTGTAGAGCTCTGTGGGCCCAAATGCACACAACCATATATGGCCGCCAAGGTTTGCTATCTTCCATACAGGGAGGTGGTCATTCCTTCCTTCACTGGTGTTCACACCAAGCACTCAGGAAAGACCTGGCTCGCCTTTCAGCATTGACACTGACCTTCAGCTCTGCCTGCAACTGAAAGATGTCCGCTACCACTCAGAGTTACTGGGATCCAGCTTGGGATCCTGATCTGAAGGTCATGCTGACATGAAGGCATGAGGAAGACTGCTGCAATGGGAAAGCAAGGCCCCTTCAAAGTAGACCAACAGCCTCTACTCAGATTTTGATTGCTGCTATCTCATCTGCATGTCATGTGTAAAACCTCCCATGTTTAACTAAAGAAAAGAATTGTAAATGCTATGTCTGTTCAGACATTACTCCTGTGAGCCACAAGAGGCCTGTCTGCGGACAACCTCTACTCTAGGTCAACATATGCTTTGGTCAACTATGTGCCCCTTAGGCTTGTGTTTGTTTTGGATACATGAAGTTCGTCCTATCTAATCATAGCAAAGGCAGTGAGAGAGCTAAAATTACATGGAATAATGGGCACATGATGAGGAAGGAAAAGGAAACAAATATAATGAAAAAATGAATGTAAAAAAATTATTCTAATGTGAATCAGCATCAAGGCTACAACATCTGCATGGGCTTAGCCTTGCCTAGGCATGAGCTCGGGCCACTGGCATCATGGCCCTCGGGATAATGAATAGGTGGGCTCATGGGCACCAAGTCAGAGCACAGCCTCGTCACAAATGGGGAAGCTTCTCCACTCCCCTCTTTCTGGCCATGATCACGTGGGACTGTGGGGTCCTAGTGGGCAGGTGCTGATCCCATGTATTTTATCTAATGGCGTACCTGGTAGTATTCCTGGCTCTGAATCAGTGCTGAAGGGATGGTAAATACTCCTTCAATGCCAACATGTGTGATGCCAGGTTTGAATAGGGAAATATATACCAAGATTTAACTGACTATTTGAGGGAGAAATACCAAGCTCCCAAATTTAACATTCCTATGGAAAGACTCAAAATACAAAGATCTCACAGTATGGGATCTAACTGGACTGTGAAATTAAAATCACAAAAATAAAGCTTCCCTTTCCATTGCATGTCACAGTCTGAACTCAGACGTACAAATGAACTGATGTACAACTGCATTTCTAAGGGAAACTATGGGGGCCGCTCACCACAGCAATTCTGTCCCATTGCAGGTTATCTGCCCGCTATTTTGTGTCTAGAGGACAGGAAGCCAAAATTCAGAGAGGAACTTACTAGATAAAATGCATCTAAATCTCTTTGCATGTGAGCTAGTAGTCCTGCCCTAGGAATCCTTTAAAATTCAAATCCTGGATTTCCCACTGAGGTGTTTTGTGGTTTGTACACCAACGTGCTTTCCCTGCCTGAGACTAATTGGTCTTATATTTAACAAGAGTTTACAGAATGAGAAAAATAAAATGCTTTGGGGTAGAGCATGCTGTGAAGCAGCCCTGTTAGTGCTCCTAAAAACATTTGTAAAATGCATTTTCCCACAAGAAAGGTGACCCAGGGCCTGGCTGAGCTGGTCATGGTGGGCACGGCAGGGGAGGAGGGGGTTAGATTTGAGGGCAGGGCTAGGGGAGTAGAGGTCCAACTACCTGAAAAGCACCATGCCAAGCAGACAGTAGCAGAAAAGAAGGGATTAACCACGTAGCTGGGAATTGTTTAGGAATGTTTCAAGTGACCCCAGGATTGTCAAAGGCAACCTAATCATGGCTTAGAAGCAGAAGGGGACCTGCCAGAACCCAAATGAGCTGCCAACAGGACAGGGTCCAGAACAGTCTTCTGTTCCGGCAAAGAAGACTCGCACACCATGGGGTCTCTATCTCATAGTGACAGAGATGGATGACATGGACACATATCATTTGTCATGTCCCAGTGTTGACTATGTGCCAGGACCGATACTAGGGACTCCATGTAATGACTTCTACAATCTTGATTGTGTAGAAGTTGCCACCCCCACCTCACAGATAAGGATACTGAGGTTGGAAAGTTTAAATTACTAGGTCGCCACTAAACAGATGTTAAGTAGAAGAGACGGGATTCAAAGAAAACAGTTTTTCCTCCAGTGAATAAACTCTTAAAACTCTACACTCTACTACGGTTCATGAGAAGTACAGGAAAAAAGTATGTGGGGGAGAACCTTGGGGACAATGGAGAGATCAGCCCAATGTACAATAAAAAAGATGATTTCCAAAATATCTGTCAATTAACCACAATAAAACCAACACATTTTATAACATGACCCAGTACATAGTCCCTGCATCGCTCTGGATATAAACAACTAAAGAAAAGTGTTACAAACATAATTAAGCTCACTATGTGTGACATACTAATATTTTCTGATTTTTTTCGATTCTATGTCAGTATTTTTAAAATGCTGGTCAGGTCTCACGTACATGACTTCACAGCCCACCAGAAGGTCAGAACCCACAGTTGGAAAACAAGTACCATGACCCAGCTGATGACCACCAACCACTGTTATTGTGTTTGATGTTTGAGTAGAATATTAGTTTTCCAATATTGAGTTTTTACATATAATCTCCTCCAATTTGTGCCTTTATTCAAAAGAAGGAAAGGGAGAGAGGGTAGTTAAGAGGGAGAGATAAGCAGTGGAGAGAATTTTCCATCATTTTATTTTTATACGAAAAAGAGTAGTGAAATTACTGGAAACAAGAGCAGCTCCATCTCGATGACAAAGAGCTTGCCCCAAGAGGCAGAGGTTAAAGGACCATGTCAGGGAAGGTGCTGATGTCTTTGATGTTCTTTTGACTTGTCAGGAAGATATAATTAGTCACTGGTAAAAGGAACACCTGTATGTGGTCTTTGGCAAATTTTAAGACTGAAAGGCAAGTCACATACCTACTACTCAGGTTATCTTCCACACAATAAAGCACCAGGTCTCTCTAGGCTACTTGGTCAATATTAATTTGATTTGACATTAACAAGTCTCAACAACATTACCCGTGGAAGGATGAAGTTTGGCTCCTGGGAGCAAAATCAATACAGGAGCCAGGAACACTCATTAATGCAAATAGCCCACATTTAAAAAGAGAAAGAAATGATGGCAAATCATAAGCGGAGTAGCTGAGAAATGGTCTCAATATGTACTTCAGTTGGGGATTTCTGGGAGCGAATGAAGAGGGGTCTCTTCAGAGAAGTGACTGATGCCATTTATTAATCTACTTGCACATAATGTCAAATTTTGAAGTTGTTCCAAAGAAAACCACTTTTTTCCTTTACATCAGCCTCTTAATATGCTGAAGGAACCTGTTCAAAACGCTTCAGCAGTGAAAGTAACTTAGATGATAAATGTGTTCTTCAATCTGTGTACCAGTCAAGTGGCAATAAAATCAGGATAATTCATGCAAAAATTTTCATTATGTTTCTAAACATACTTATTTACATTTTAAATCACACATTAGACAATATGAAATATCTTTCATTTAGACAGGTGTGAACTAGAAAACAGATGCGTTCGTTATACACAGAACAATTCGGTGAATTAAAAAAAAAATACTCCAAGAACTCTCTGGATGAGGTACTTGGGCCACTGTTAACTTACTTGGAAAAATATGGCCATGGCTCCGATTATTCTGTTTTCAGAAATGGCAGTTTGAAAGCTGTCAAAGTCGTCTGGATTGTAAAAGAAAAGCTGCATCTGAAAAAGAACAATTAAAAGTGGATTGGTAACATTTCCACACCTACACCAAAGTAGAGAGAACAGTACAATGAATCCGTTCCCCACTTACTAAGATTATTCATCTGTCCATATTTTTTCATTACAAAATTACTTCAGCAGACATCACCAAAACACACATCTTCTCACATAACGACAAAATAAAAACACCAGCACCTTCTTATAATCTGATGCTCATGTTATGGTGGAAGTTCCTGATTAAGAAGCAAATTTTTAATGGAGTTATACACGTTGAAGTAAAAAACTGAGCTGTGAGATTCAGTCCACATGTTAAAATTATAAATGCTCAAATGGGCACATCTGTATGAACACCACCCGTTCTAACGATGAGAATTTGAAGGGGTCTCTCAGTAACCTTGAGAAATAGCCTAAATTTCAGGGACTCCACAAAGGAATATAATGGTAATGATAATAATGATGCCTTCACAGTTTGGGAAAAGCCAGCTCATTCATTATTTCACTCAATCCATCTAACAATGCCTGTGAAGATAGAGCAGAAATTACTGCACTCAGTTATAAATGAGGAACTAGGGCTTCAGAAAGTTGATGTTATCTTGGCTAAGATTAAACATCAGAGGAAGAATGTAAAATCCAGACGCTCTCAGCCCAACCTTAGATAATTTCTCTTACATTTGGCTAGGATTTCTTATTCAAAAAGCAGAATAGAGATAAATCAACTTAAATCATTATGAAATTTTAATGCTTGAACATTCTGACAATTCACACAATTCAGAGAACAAAAAGAGACCACAGAGTATTCTCCTGAGACCACATTTATGATAAAAATAACAGATCTGGGTTTCTATTCCAGTTTCCTCATTTACTTGCCTGTGAGACCTCAGGTAAAGCAAGCTAATTTCTGAGTATCAGCCTCCTCATGTACAGAATCAAGTATTTACCCTTGGTAGGGTGGGTATGGGGACCAAACAAGTTAGCGTATGTAGCACCACGCCTAGACCTCATCAGTGCTCAACAAATCACTATCACCACCACCACTACCACCACCACCATCACCATCACCTCCACCACCACCATCACCACCAGCACCATCACCATGACCACCACCAATCATTACCATCACCACCGCTACCATCATGACTACCATCACCATGACCACCACCACCATGATGATGAATAGACAGTTAATTTGGAGGATTTTCTGCCACCCCTCCACTCTCTCTTTCTATATCCTCCTTTTCTATTAAACACACATACATACCATCATTATCACCACTGCTACCACCATCACTACCACCACCACCACTACCACTACCACCACCATCACAACCACCACCACCACCACCATCATCACTACCACCACCATTATCATAACCACCGCTACCACCATCACTACCATCAGCATCACCACCATTAGCACCACCACCATTATCACTACCATCATCACCACCACCACCATCATCATCATCGTCACTACTACCACCAACACATATTGTAAAGTTAACGATTGGTAGACATCTTAAAAGTTCTAACAAGAATGTGATTCCACTGAATCTTACAGATTGACCCTGCTCCTTACAGTAAACCAAATCTCCTATATCATTAGATCTCTTCCATGACCTCTTTTCCCCATTTTTCCAAATGACATGATGCTATTTGCTGTAATAGACTGAACAACCACACCCCAGATGGAGTTTGGAGAGTTTATACTGATTAATGATAAATTCCCAGTGGGGAAAACATAATGATAGAGACTAGCAGAAGTACAGGTCAAAGGTAAACAGAGTCCTGTCGACTGATTTAACCAAGATGTTAATTGAGTTCACCAATAAGAACAAGGTGACATTTCTTTTCTGAAGGGTGAAATCTGGTATCTAAATCAGGACACTGTCTAGAAGAACACAGGTACCCAAGTAAATGGTAGAAAAATGGGTAGATTCTTTTCGAGGATTTTCTTTCTTAAAGTGAATTATTTTCCTCAGACTGCCAATTCCCACTGAGACTGCAGCTTCTTACAAATGTGTTGTATTTGGGTTTGGACAGCTTTAGACATCATGAATTTATACTGAGAAAAATCCATTCAATGAGGTGCAGATTAAAACAGTTTAATGCCGGGTGAATTGCTTTGGGTACATGGCTACTATCCCAAGGAAGATACTCCACAGTCAGAAAATTACACTTCACTTTCCTTTTAAAACTCAGGCCCTCAAATTAAGTAAGTTCACAGAAGGTTTTCTTATTCTTTGGCATATGTGCCAGGGGGGCATTGTGTAATGCATCACCTGAATAGTGTCTGATACAAAATACTTTAAGTCTTCTTCAAGGGCACTTTCATTTACAACTGGGTGAGAAAATTCATTTTTAGAAAATGTCTTTGAGTCATGGCTCCACCCATCAGGATAATGCAATGTCTCATAAAAAGAACGGCAGCACAAGTTGGAAATATCAATTTTCCTGGCTAGTCCTCTCAAGTTGTAGTCTACTGAATTATGCTAACGTTTGAAGCTATCTTAAATAGGAGAGTAAATAAGTAGATGGAGTTTTGCTGAGTGAAATGGACTTTAAGTTATCTTAGTTTTATTCTTGATGAGACATATTTGAGAAAGGGCTAGAAACCTATTTTCCAAAAGTACCTTTGGAAGGAGTTGGGTGGCTACTAAATACCTTGAGTAGCCCATCAACATTCTGTACCTGCTCTCAAGAGCCACACTCAGAGCATCCTCCAAAGTGTGTTCTTCCTAATAGTGTGAAAGTAAGTGACACCCACTGCCCAGCAATCATCCTCCTGAAAAACCATGATGCACATAAGCTGAAAGGATGTGGAAACGCAGCAATAAAGAGATCGATTCACTGTTGCACACACATATCTTTCACCCACTGCTACCAACTATTTACATTTTACTCCACTTGCGTCCTCTCTATCTCCCCACATACAAGACTTTTTCTGAGTAATTTCCTACCAAATGGGAGATAATATACCCCGTCACCTATAAATACTTACGTGCATAATTTCTAAGCATGAGGATGTTCTCTTAAATATTATTACAGTATAATTATAAAATTAGCAAATTTCACTTTGATGCAACACTATTATCTCATTTATAGTGCATTTTTCTGGCAAGTGCCCAAATAAGCCCATTGTGGGTCATTATATGGGTTCTCAGCCCAGGAATCCAATCTATGATCAAACTTTGCATTAGTTGTCATGTCTCTATACTGACCCCTCCCACGCCCAACCTTCATCTGGAGCAGCCCCTTAGCCTTTCTTCACTCTGGTAGGGTGAAGTGTACAGGCCAGTTATCATGCAGAATTGGGGCCTGTCTCATGGTTTTTAGGACTAGATTACAGGGTACATTTTGGGTAGGTTACCACAGTAGTAATACTGTGTCTTCACAGCGCACCATGCCAGGAAGCACAGTAAATGGGTGTTGTACTTGATCACATAGTTAAGGTGATGTCTGCTAGGCTTCTCTACTATAATGTCATTAATTCTCCTTTTGTAATTAAAAAGTACTTTGTAGAAAGATATTTCGAATTACATACATAGCCTCTTCCTCAGCTAACCTTAACCTACCATTTTTAGTATCCACTGATGATTTTCTCGCTCTGCCATACTCTTATGTCCATTCACGGCATTCTTGTGTAAGAAATCGCCTTCCCGTCTCCAGTTTATTCACTCCTTCATTCGTCTATATCAATAAGGAATCATTTATTTTTGTTTTTATTGTATTCAGCGGGTTATAATCCATCACTATCAGTATTGCTGATGCCCAAACTGTCTCAGATTTGCCCAATAGGAGACTTCAAACAGATTCCTCGATCATACTGCCACGTTCCTACCATTTCCATTAGTTAAGACCTCCTCACCAGCTCATTATGTATTTTCCCTGCTTTGGTCCTAAAACTGGCCATTTCTTGAGTGAACCCTGGTCCCTTTTAATGAGGAATGGTATTTAAAGACCAAATATCACTAATTCAGTGCTTTCCAAATATTTTTGAGATTAGAATACTTCGGTTCTTCAAGAAAACTATATACCTGGAGGCTGTGCGAGTCTATTCCAAGCAGGACCCTTTTTGCAAGGAAAGAAAGTTGGATCAACTTTAATGGGTGTCCCTCACCAGGCACAGTGCCGTGGAATATGTAAATCTCCCATCAACACAAATAACCTGCATGAAGCTCAACTACAAATGCACTGCAGACTGTTGTGTACCTGGCCACAATCAAGGGACCAGTTCTAAGCAACCTTTCCAATACATGAGCAAGAGTCACAGGCCTGGATACATCATTCATTTCTACCTCATGAAATGGCTGCAGTGGAAAAAACTCCAGGCATTTCTCCAGCCAGATCAAGGTGGCAGATAACGTAGAGTACAATATGGCCTAACCTGACCGATGGAAAATCGAATTTACAGGGGGAAAAGCCCTACGACTGAGCAGGAAGCATTTGCTAAAATATAGATACGGAAAATGCCTAAACAAATGCTAACATTACCACGTAATGGGAAGGAGATGAAATGGGTACTGTGAGCATAGGGTTGCTGGCAGTCAATGTTTTATTGGTTTGGGTACTAATATGATGCATGCAGAGTCATGACAAAACGTCTGCTTAGCTTCCCCTTTCATCTGCCTTACCTGTAAAATAACTCTAGTTGTAATTTTATTTAAAAACCATGTATATCCCTGGTTTCCAATTTGTATCTCTCTCTGTATTGAGCTGAATGAATAGAAAACAACAAATCTGCACACTGAAGTCTTCTATATTTTTATGAATGCTGGTTTTCAAACAGTTAGTGAGTTCCCACTGCATGCCAGGCACTGTACTATTATTCTTTAACACTCACTGAGGTGGGTACCACCACGATCCTCATTTTACAGCCAAAGGAGGCAAGCATTTCTAACTTTACAGGCTCATAAGGATAGAGGGTGGGATTATGAAACCTAATCTCTCCAATCCTAGTTGATCAAGACCTTCATCACTGTGCTTCCTTCCAAAAGGCAAAC